CCACATCTACAATGAAAGAAATGGGATGAGATTATTTTCAAACAACATTAGAAGTGTGCACACACACATATGTATGCTGTGTGTGTGTGTATATAAACGGCAAGAATCAACCATGATAAAAATAAAATAAATGAATGGAAAAAAAAAAAGTATGACTAAAATAAATCTGTCAAATTTAGCACTGCCTAGCTGGAACGATTAGCAGGAATTGTTTAAACTGTAGAGCTTTCAGCTCCTACCTGTGTGCCCCTGTAGTTTCTGTACGATCTCCTTGGTCTGAAGGTTCCAAATATAGACCATGTTGTCCTCTGAGCCGGAGACAATCCACTAAAGAGAAAGCAAATCTTTAAAACCTTCAAAACCTTTTCTACCAAAATGTGGAAATTGAACACTTCTGTGGAAAAAAAACAAAACAGTAAATTGATGAGTATGCTCAATGTCTGTGTTTAGTGTGATATGCTTAGCAGCTGATTAGTATAGTGTAGTTCCAACATACCTTTCCACCAGTGACAGAGAAATTTGCAAATATGCAGTACTTCTCATTTTTATGACCGGTATATGTTTTCAAACACTAAACAAGAGAAAATTATATTGTTATACACAAATGAAGAATTATTGTTATCAAATAAAACAACCATCTCCATCTAAACAGAAAAAAAATCTTACCTTTCCTTTGCTGTAGTCCCAAAGCTTCAAAGTGCTAAAACACAAAGGGAATGCAAGAGCCTTTTCAAAGGGCATTGATAAATATAAATTATTTCATTACTGCTATTTTTTTTTTTTTTTTAAAGAATGAGCAGCATAAAAGGCTCAGAATAATGAGAAGTCTGTGACTCACTTATCCAGAGTGGCAGCCAGTATGTATTTGCCATTGGGGGAGAACTTCACAAATGACACAGGTGGGTTGTCATCATCTAATGAATATTTGCATATATATATATATATACACATTATAATGCCCGTTTATTTGTTTAATCTCTTTATTCTTATTTAAGATGCCATACATTTTGTTATGTTTTTACGAACTTCACAAATGACACAGGTGGGTTGTCATCATCTAATGAATATTTGCATATATATATATATACACATTATAATGCCCGTTTATTTGTTTAATCTCTTTATTCTTATTTAAGATGCCATACATTTTGTTATGTTTTTACTTTTTTTTTTTTTGTTGGCTTAATGTTATAGATGTTTGATAAGAACAAGTTTCACAAACACTTTAGAGGTACAAATTGTCGCTTCTGAACAAGTGCTTTTGTGTAAAAGACTGGTAAACTTACCGATGAGTGTTTTAAGGCACTGGCCTGATGCTGTGTCCCAGATACGGCTGTTTAAAATGTCACAAATAAGCATGTATGGTTGTTAATTATGCATCTCTGACATATTTATCCACTCTCAAAAAAACAACGACAACAACAACAAAAAACAATCTCACAGCCAAAGTTCACTCACCAAAGTCCATCATAACTGCTGGAAACAATCAATGAGCCATCTCTGTTGAAATGAACCTAAAACAAAATTTCAAAAAGGAAAAATCATTTAAAGTATATCACCCACTGTACACAGTTGTGAATATGATTATCTGATCATCATATGTTAAGTATAAAGGCACTCACCGCAGAGACGGGGTCCGAGTGCGCTGGCAGCGTCTTGAGACACTTGCCCGTTTTAACATCCCAAATCCTCACACTCTCGTCAAACTGCCGTGGAGATAATAATTAACATGTATGTTTGCCTGAATTAACAAAACAGTGAAATGACAAATGATTGTGAATGGGCTTACAGATCCAGATACGATGAGGTTGGACTGGGGGTTGAAGTTACAGCAAAATACATAGTTGCTGTGACCCTTCAGTGTTTTTAAACACTTCCCCTGGTGATATAAAGAAACAGCATAGGAAAAGCCCTGAATATCATAAATTGTGGTGATATATATATATATATATATATACACACACACATGCATATATTTGATATTCAGAAGTTAAGCTTTGGCTTGTGCTGTTGACTTACAGAGCTCACATCCCAAATTTTCAGTGTCTTGTCATCGGAAGCTGAGACCAGGAGGTTGGAGTCAGAGGACCAGGCCACGTCTGAGATGCCCTGCAGGTGAGAGAAAACCAGGTCACATTAGACACCTCGCAAAGTAAAAGCAGCACTACTCTGCAATTATGGATCTTTTGGGAAACTCACAAGTTTGTGTCCAGATATCGTCTTTTCAAACTTGCCATCATATGCACCCCATATTTTGATCAGCTTATCAGCAGCTGGATGAAAGGGGGAAAAAATCCCAAAATTTTATGACTTTTCTTTCACAGCACAGCTATTTCAGAGATTCTCAAAGGGGGGTTTGTGAGTTCATGAAAAACTAGTGAGTCGTAAAATGTTAAATTAAATTATATAAAAAAGAGAGGCCATCAAAATAAAATTGCCATATGGCAAGTGTGATTATCAAATTGCAAAAGGGATCTTAACACACATACATAGAGCAAATGTGATATACTAAAAGTATTTGTTTTGATCATTTTTCAGATGTAAATAAAAACCTCAAATAAATAAATTAAGTCGAGTTTCATTCCTGTGAGGTTTCATTAAAAGAATCTTACTTTCCGTTTCGAAGAATAAAGTCTTATGGGTTTGGAACAACATGAGGGTGAAAGTAAATGACAATTTTCTTTTTTTCCCTCTAAAGTCTCAAGAGAGATTTTACGTTTTGGAAACCTCTGTTCTATAACGCATAACTACTTTATATCAGTATTAGTGCTGTACAAGTACTTACATGAGCTTGCGAGCCACTCCCCACTTGGACTGAACTTGACAGAAGAGACTGCTTTTGTATGGCCAGCCAATGTGAATTTTAAGGTATAGTTTGGCTTCACAGGTGCTGACTGAGATAGAGCAGAACTCACATCATTAATGACACATTGAAATAAGTAATGACTTTGTCACAGATCGTATTAGCTACATTTCTGCTTTACCATTTATACCACAAGTATATCCGTTGCACGATATACAAATCATCTAAAACCAAGCAGAAAACAATTCCAAACTGTGTCGCAGATGGGTGTTCCCCAGTGATGTTTTACCTTGCTCTGGCTGGCGGAGGCAGCTGATGCCGGCTGTGTTTTAGTAGCCTCTGTGTCTGGTTTCTTCTCCTCAGTTGCCATGGCGAACAAGTTGGAGAGAATGGGTTTACAGAAGCAAGTTCAAAGTCAACCTGACTGTCCAAAAGAGAAGTACTGATGAGAGTTTGTATATTAGTCTTCCAATTCAGATGACACAGAAAGGATGGAGGAATTCAGTTAGGTGTTCGGAAAGTCTGTAGGTTACATGTAAAACTAATGATCACATGCCAGTCAGTGTGTTAACGGTCACAACATCTTTCCAATATAATTATCATGCTAATACATTTCTGCCCAAGTTTATATTTTTAATTTACATTTTCAAATGTACTCATTTTCATATATATATATATATATATATATATATAATTTTT